GAGGAGTGATGGCTTCTGACCCCCTGCCCAGTCTCTCAGTGCTGCCTCGGGGCTCTGCTCCATCTTCCCCAACCCCCTTCCCCTTCTGGCACATGCTGCCCATGGCAAAGACCCTCCAACTCCCACCCAGACCTCCTGTGTGTCAGGGTTACTGGAGCAGCTGACTCAGGCCACAGCCCTGTGACATGCTTCCTGTTTTTTCTGTTGTGTACAGCTCACATATTCATCTGTTGGTGTATTATTTCTTTTATATCTGCTTTGATTTGTGTTATATAAAGCGTTTTTCTCTGGGATGAGTTGCAGCGTCCTAAATCTTTGGGCATGATTTGCCCTTGGATAGGGAAAGGTTCTACCCCCACAGGGTGGTGGGGCACTGACCAGGCTCCCCAGGGCAGTGGTCATGGCCCCAAGGCTGCCAGAGCTCAAGGAGTGTTTGGACAATGCTCTCAGGGACAGGGTGGGATTGTTGGGGTGTCCTGGACAAGACCAGGAGTTGGACTGATGATCCTTGTGTGTCCCTTCCAGCTCAGGGTATTCCATGATTCTGTGGTACACTGTGGTGTTGAAAGTGGCTTTGGAAATCCCAGCACAGACACATCCAGCCAGCATGACCTGACCCATCACGTGGCTCCTGCCAGCACAAGGAGCGTGTGTGGGACTTCCAGGGTACCCTGATGGACCCACTGCACAGCCCCACACAAACATCCTCACATTCCACCCACCCGGGTGGAGCGGGGACAAGAGGAAATGAGGAAATCAGGCCATGCTGCCACAGACAGTGGCAGAGCTGTGCCGTGGTACAGCTTGGCAAGGACACGGAGCAGGGAGCACCCACTGCCATCCTCAGCTTCCCCTTCTGCCAAGAGCGGGAGGAGGGTCTCGGTGGCCAGTTCTGCCCCGGGAGGGCAGAGGGGTAGGAGGCAGCTCAGCTGGCTTGTTACCCTCTGATGTTGCAATATCCCTACCCTTTGGTCCTTCCCAGGGCTTTGGCAAAGGATGAGGTCCCTTGGCAGGTCCCAGGTGCCTGCCCTCAGCCTGGACTTCCAGCACCAGGAATGTGACACAGCTGTGACCATCCTCTGGGATGGGCCAGGCACGGAGACCCTGGGGGACTGGGGAGTCCAGGGACCCCAAGGAGGTGACCTGGCTGGGGATGGTGACAGTGCTGGGCCTGGCTCCCTCCTGGCTCCACTCTCAGCTTTGCTTGGAGCCAGACACACAAAAGCATCCTGGGGGATGCTGCTGCCTCTCTGTGGAAACCGTGAGCCTCCAGCTGAGCCAGCTGCCCTGCCAGGGAAGGAGGGCAGAGCCAGGCACGGCTGTCGGGATCACAGCAGGGCACTGGATTTTCCTGTCACTCCAGGCCAAGGGGAAAGTGTGGCAGGTTCACTCAGGATGGGGAGATGCTGATGGGAAGGGCTGGTGGGTGCAGGCTGCGGCTGAGGCTACAGCCCTGCTCCTGCCTTTGGCTGCCCAGCTCCTTTTAGAATCCCAGAATCATGGAATCATTAAGGTTGGAAAAGACCTCCAAGATCATTGAGTCCAACCATTCCCCCAGCACTGCCAAGCCCACGACTAATCCCTGTCCCCAGGTGCCACATCCACATGTTCTTTGAACACTTCCAGGGACAGTGACTCCACCACCTCTCTGGGCAGCCTGTTCCAATGCCTGACCACCCTTTTGGGGAAGAAGTTCTTCCCAATGTCCAACCTGAACCTCCCCCAGTGCAGCTTGAGGCCTTTCCCCTTGTCCTGTCCCTCATTCCCTGGAAGCAGAGCCTGATCCCCACCTGGCTCCACTCTCCCCTCAGGGAGTTGCAGAGAGTGAGTGAGAAGGTCCCTCTGAGCCTCCTTTTCTCCAGGCTGAGCCCCCCCAGTTCCCTCAGCTGCTCCTGGTGTTCCAGATGCTTCCCCAGGCCCGTACCCTTCCCTGGACATTCTTCAGCCTCTCAATGTCTGTCTCAAAGTGAGGGGCCCAGAATTGAACACAGAATTCCAGGTGCCTCAGCAATGCCTCAGGGCTATATATGCAGAATGTCAGGGCTCCTCCATCTTCCATCCACGTGGCAGGACACGGTGGGAGATGCCTCTCCCCAGCTCCAGCCCAGTGAGCTTTCAGAGGAGATTTGGCTGCACACTGGCCCTGCTGGGAGTGGGAATTGGAACCCATTTCAGGATGCAGTAAAACCTTAATCTGCAGCCTAATCTCTGTTGCGCTGCATCTGTGCAGCAGCCAAAAACGGCAGATGAGAGGGCTGTGAAGGGAGGGTTGGGACAGCAAAGGCCACTGTGAAGAGCCAGTGGGTTTGCAGGAGGGACAGGGATCTTTGCTGGGGCAGAGGGAGACAGGACAGCAGGTGAGGGACATCCAGCTCGTGGTAGGAGACACCCTGGGAGCAGGGAGAACACTGGGGTGCGGGTCCTGATCACCTGAGCAGCGTTCCCAAGGGCATGGAGCAAACACTGGGAGCACCTGCTGAGATCCAAGGGGAATGTCTGGGATCAGGGCTGAGCTCAGCGACATGGGAATGGCCACATGGGCAGCAAAGCCACCACAACCCCAGGGGCTCACATCTCCCAGCCCACCGGGAATCCTCACTCCATGTCCTCCCTGGTGCCCTGCTCCCTTCCCATGGGGAAGCTCCTTATCTTGCTGGGCTGGAAGTGCTGATAAGATGAGGCCATATTAGCAGGGGACAGGCTGAAAGACAGGCACCAGCCCAGAGAAATGTGACAGCACAGCCTTGTTCCAGCAGCAGCAGAGCTGCCAGCAAAGGCTCAGCTCCTGCCACTGCTCAAGGGCACAGCCAGGGCCAAGGTGAAAGGCTCTGCTGGCAGAGGGAGCTGCAGGATCAGAGGCAGGAAAACCAAACCTCAGGAGTGGCAGCTCGCTGTCCAAGCTGGCAAACACAGCATAACCAGTTTCCCCCTGAGCGCTCCCCAGCAGCACAAATAGCTCAGTTTTAGCTCTAACCTGACTCAGGAGTCCCGGGTTGGAGGCAGATCCACCCTGAGCCACAGGGAGCAGCAATGCCACCACACCCCAGCAGGGTGAGCCAGGCACGTCCCAGGGCCATCCCCATCCCGGTGGAGCAGGGAGGGAGGGTCAGAGCCAGGATTAGCTGAGCCAGGCCCAGCAGGGCTGCACCTCCCTCCAGCAGGGCTGGGAACAGGCTCAGCTGGGATGCAAGGACAGGGCTTCTCCCAGCCCTTCCTCACAGCTCAGCTGTTTTCCCACCAGGATTTGGTGGGATGCAAAAGCCCAGCTCCATTCCCAGCCAAAGATGGCCGGGTCATCCATCCTTTCTGAGACACACGTGGGCCTTTTCTCCTTGGGGGTGACCAGAAACCCCAGGAACTCCCCAGTGACCCATCCATGAACCTGAAAAACTGACATTCAGTTCAGAGAATCCCAAAATGGTTGGGGTTGGAAGAGCCTTAAAGCCCATCCAGTTAACTGGGCAGGGACACCTTTCACTATCCCAGGTTGCTCCAAGCCCCACCCAACCTGGCCTTGGACACTTCTAGGGATGGGGCAGCCACAGCTTCTCTGGGCAAGCTTCTCCCCATCCTCACAGGGAAGGATTCCTTCCTAATATCCAATATAAACCTGTTCTCTGTCATGTTGTCCTGCAGGAAGTCCTGGTGAGGCTGGAGATGGGTTCACCTCTGGAGGGGAGAGGAGGGACTGTTCCCAGGGCTCTGCTGCCCTCAGGTGTTGTTTTTTACTGATATCCAAATTTTCCAAGCCAGCCTTGCACTAAGTGGCACTTCTCAAGTGTTGTGGTTGTGCTCCAAAAAAAGGCCTTTGCACTTGCATCAATTTATTTTATTTTATTTTTACCTTTCACGTAGTAAAAATCCTGCTTGAAAAGTGGCTGAGGAACTGGAAGGTTCTAGTCCACACCTGCCTGTGGATAAAATCTGGAATCTGCAAAGCAAAGAAACAGCAGCTCAGCACTCAGCCTTCAGCAGTGCTTGGACCTAAACTGGCTACTAATTAATATTAATATTCATTTTATTAATATTAATGTTTCTGCTTTGGGCTGCACCTGTCACTGCCTCCCCAGTGCCTTTGCTTTTCTCTTCCCAGTTCTCAGTGGGAGCAGGATAACACACCCCGGGAATGTATCTAAATTAAGTTGCAGAGTTGCCTGACAGCCCAGAAACCTTCAGAGCCATGTGGGTGCTGCTGTAGGACCCACAAGGGTAACACACACGTAGCCCACAAAATCCCTGGGTTTAATTAAATTGTGCCAAGCACCTCCTTGGCTACCTAATAAATAATTTAAAGCCATTATATGTTGCAGGGTCACCACTGAAAGGGCTTGCTTGACTCATTACAGAGCTCTCAACATTCCACTAACCCTCATATAACATTCCATTAACCATTACTTCTGCCTAAGCAATTTACATCACTTCCCGCACCTCGAGGCTCAGCAGGAGGGTCTCCGCGATAAAGCCGAGATTGGAAGGGACCTCAAAGTCCCTCCAGTTCCAACCCCCCCCTGCCACGGGCAGGGACACCTTCCAGTAGAGCAGGTTGCTCCAAGCCTTATCCAACCAGGCCTTGAACCTCTCCAGTAAACGCCCTCTAATAAACACCAACTCTGCCTTGATCTCCTCCGAGGTAAAAAGGAATTTACACCCCCCGGAGCGCCCCCGCCGCGTCCCCCACAGAGGGGGAGCCCTGGGAAGGTGGGAGACGCCCCTCCATCCCCAGGCACCCCCTGAGGTGCCCCGACCGCAGCGAGGGGCGGCTGAGAGCTCCACTATCCCTCCCCGAGGCAGCCCCGGAGCCCCCCGTGCCGCGCGGGGTCGGGTCGAGACTACCCCGGCTGAGTCCTCTCAGGGGGAGGTGCCTCAAGATGGCGCCGAGCGGGAGGGCGGGGGTACAAGCGCCACGTGATCCCGCGCCGCCCAATCAGCGGCGGGCACCGCCGGCACGGCGGGAAAGGGAGGTGTCACGTGCCCCTATCAGCCAATCAGCGACGGGGGCAGAGAGGGGGGAGGTGTCACGTGTGCCCCGCGGCAGCCAATGGGCGGCGGGCGGCAGCGGCGCCAAGATGGCGGACGATAAGGTGAGCGGGGCTTACCGGGGCTGAGGGGTTTCGGGCCCTTCCCCGGCAGGGCTGGGAATCATCTCCGTGTCTCCCGCAGGACTCGCTGCCCAAGCTCAAGGACCTCGCCTTCCTCAAGGGGCAGCTGGAGAGCCTGCAGCGCAGGGTGGAGGACGAGGTGCAGGCCGGCGTGGGGCAGGTAACGCGCGGGTTCGCGGCGCTCCCTCTGAGGGGGCGAAAATAAACCCTGGGGAAAAACAACCCGCCCTCTGACCCCCCCGCCATCCCGCCTCACTGTGCCTTCCCGCCCCGCAGGACGGATCCCTGCTGGCATCACCCTTCCTCAAAGGCTTCCTGGCGGGGTACGTGGTGGCCAAGCTCCGGTTTTCCGCCGTCCTGGGCTTCGTGGCCGGCACCTGCACCGGGATTTACGCCGCCCAGAACTACGCCGTACCCAACGTCGAGAAGACGGTTCGGGATTATTTGAACGCGCTGAAAAAAGGTCGGGACTAGCGCGGAGGAGCCCGGAGGCAGCAGGGACTGCGGGAACGGTGCTCCTCGGGCAGCGGGCACAGAGCAGACCCGGGGCTCTCGGAGGCACGTCACCCGCACCCTTCTTTCATTCTTTTCCCTGGAAAAGGGCTTTGCACTACAGCACTGCGGCACTCAGGGGCTGTGATGGGTGTGCACAGGGCATCACGGCGGTGGTGAGCACTCTACTAACCCACAAGGGGGCCCCGAGGGGCTGCCAGTTGCCTTTTCTCCTCACCCTCACCTCCCCCGTGTGGACTGAGGGGCTGCTGTGCCCTGCCACCTGCTGTGCCCTGCCACCCACACTGTGCCCTGGGAAGGTGCTCTGTGTGGCTCCCCAGAAAGGCTTTGTAGTTCTCCTCCTAAGGAGAGACAGTGCCCAGGTCTCCTCCTGCACCACAAATGTAGCAGGGAACATCCTGCCCGAGTCAGGCTCATTAAATCCTTGGTTATTTGATCTCTTCTTCGGTGTTGCAGGGTGACAGTCTTGTCTGGCCTGTCTGCACTGACAGCTGGAAATGGGAATGCTTGGGAATGCTGCCGAGGGGCCGCTCCAGAGGGGGCTGTGGGCGCTGATGCTGCTGCTGTCTGTGGCCATCTATGGCTCCCACGCCCCCCTCCTGACCCTGTGCAAGGTGGACGGGGCCATCCCCTTCAGCTCCACGTCGGTGGTGGTGCTGGTGGAGCTCACCAAGCTGGCACTGTCCCTGCTGTCCCTGCTGGGGGAGCCACCGGCGCCCGCCGTGTCCTGGCACCACGCCGCGCCCTTCGCCCTCTCAGCCCTGCTCTACGCCGCCAACAACAACCTGGTGGTGCACATGCAGCTCTTCATGGACCCCAGCACCTTCCAGGTGCTCAGCAACCTGAAGATCCTGAGCACGGCGCTGCTCCACAGCCTCCTGCTGCGCCGGTGCCTGGGCCCGCGCCGCTGGCTGGCCCTGCTGCTGCTGCTGGGGGCCGGGGTGTGCTACAGCTGGGGGGGGCTCCGGGGGCACGGCATTCCTGGTGGGACACACCTGCACGTCACACCCGTGGGGCTGGTGCTGCTCTGCGTGTACTGCCTCATCTCAGGCCTGTCTGCTGTCTACACTGAAGCCATCCTGAAGGCACAGCCGCTGCCCCTCGGTCTCCAGAACGTCTTCCTCTACTTCTTCGGGGTCCTGCTCAACCTGGCGGGCTCCCTGTGGAGTGGCACCGAGGGCGGGTTCCTGCGGGGCTTCTCCCCGTGGGTGCTGCTGGTGGTGCTCGGCCAGGCCCTCAACGGCCTCATCATGTCGGTGGTGATGAAGCACAGCAGCAACATCACCAGGCTCTTCATCATCTCCTGCTCCATCCTGGTCAACGCCCTGCTCTCTGTCGCCCTGTTTGACCTGCAGCTCACTCTGCTCTTCTTTGTGGCCGTGGCGTGCATCGGCCTCGCTGTGCACCTCTACTATGGAGTCACGTAGCCACTGCCTCCCTCCTGCATGTCCAGGCAGCCTCAGCCCTTTCTCAGGGTTGGGGTTGTTGCTGCTGGGTGCCTGCACAGCTCCAAGGACCCCTGGACAAGGAGTGCCCTGTCCCTGCTTCCAGGGGGAAGCTGGGCCCTGCTCCAGCCTGGCCAAGCTCAGTGCCACGGGGTTCCCATGGGATCAGGTGTGCCCAGCCTCAGGGCGGGTCCTGAGCCCTGTGTGGGTGCCTCATAGTCTCAAGCTGTGCCAGGGTACGTTTAGGTTGGACATCAGGAAGAATTTCTTCCCAGAAAGGGTGATTAAACATTGGAAGGGACTGCCCAGGGAGGTGGTGGAGTCCCCATCCCTGGAGGTGTCCAAGAAATTACTGGATGTGGCACTCAGTGCTCTGGTCTGGTTGACAAGGTGGTGATCAGTCACAGGTTGGACTCGATGATCTTGGAGGTCTTTTCCAACCTCAGTGACTCTGGGATTCTGTGTCCCATGTCCTCAAGCTGCTTCTCCACACCACAGTGGCCTGGGAATGCTCCGGCAGCAGTTGGCTCTGCCAGCACACTCTGCCAGCCCAGCGTGGCACTGGTGCCATTTTGGCTCCCATGGATGCTGCTTCCTCCCTCCCCATTCCTGGTGCTGTTTCCTGGGGCCTCTCCCACTTCCACAGTTTTCCAGCCCAGCTCCTGGCTGAAGCCCTCCTGTCCTCAGGTCCCGCTTCCCCTCCTTGGGCACAGTGTCTGTGTGGAACAGACAGGGAAGGGGGGATATGGGAACTGTTTCACCTACTCCCAAAAGGGAGACACCTCCTGGATTTGTACTGAGTTCCTGGCAGGCAGAACCCACCCGGGATATTAAAGCTGCAGTTCAACAGCATCCGTGTGTCTGTCTCTTGTGTCTGTCCTGTGTCTGCCCTCCCTGCAGGAAGGGATCTGTGTCCCTTGAGGGAGGTTGGGGGCCGGGGATGTGTCCGAGCCTGGTGACAGTCATGGGTGAGGGGCACCTGCTTTATTCCACATGGCCCCAGCTGGGGGTTGCCAGTCAAGTGCCTGGCACAGAGCAGTTTTCCCTCCCTGGGGCACGTTTCCACAGGGAGCAGCAGGTGGAGGGGAGGGGCAAGAGGGGAGGCTGTGCCCGGGGTAACCACCGGGGCTGGTGACCCTCGTGCTGCCAGGCCACACCCTGGGAGGTGGCTCAGGGGGTCTGTGTGGTGGCATCTGCCAGGCACCGCTGTCTGGCCTCCCGCAGGTGCCGGCTGTGCTCGGCGAGCTCCAGTGTGTCCCGGAGCAGCTCCTGCAGCAGCGCCCGGTGCCGGCGCTCCAGCGCCTCCCGCTGCTCCCCCGCCAGGCGCCGCTGGTCCCGCAGCACCTGCGGGATGCCCGGGCTGTCTGGCACGGCCCTGGCACCGCCGGGAGGTGAGTGCCCAGCCCTCCCTGCCCACCTGCAGCAGGTGCTGCCTGCAGCCCTGCAGCTCCCGCTGGTGATTCTGCAGCAGGGCCTCCAGGTCCCACTCGGCCGCCTCCCGCTCCCGCAGCGCTGCCTCCAGGCTCAGGCCCAGCACAGCCACCTCCTGCTGCCAGCGCGCTGTGTCCCACTGCGGGGGACAGGGACAAGGGCAGGGCAGCTCTGGGGTGTCCCTGCTCCCTGGGACTGCCCTCGGGAGAGCAGCACCAGGGCAGGAGACCCGAGGGCAGGGTGGTGGGGTGTGGCTGTGCCCACCTCCCCGCTGTGCTCCCGGACTGCCCTGGCCCCGAGCTCCTGCTGGAGGTGCCGGCAGTGCTGAGCCCGCAGCCGCTGCCGCTGTGCCCTGGCCAGGGCATGCTGGACCTCCAGGGATGGGCATGGCTGGCACTGGCTCCCCGCCTGGCACAGAGTGGAGCAGGCCAGGATGGCACCGGGATCCAGTGCTGCCAGTGCAGAGCGCTGCGGGCACTGCACAGGGACCCCGTGAGCTCCCACTCACCGTGTCACCCCCAGGCCGTGGCCGTGGCTGTGGCATTTCACTCTGGGACAGCTCCTCCAGCAGCTCCTGCCCTGCAGTGGCTGGAGCTCTGCTGTCCCCTCTCTGGCTGCTCCCACTGTCACCCCGTCCTGCATGGGGACAAGGGAGGAGGATGAGTGTGATGTGGAGGCTGAAGAAAGCCACTCAAATGGAGGAGGGAGGCCTTTCCCACCCTGTAGAGCCATGCTCCGTGACCACATATCCGCCACCCAGGTGTGGGATGCATGTCTGGCTCTGTGCTCTGGACCTGCTGGCTCCAGAGTGCCACTGGTCTGAGTCCCAGGCTGGCCTGGTGATGTATTCCCTGCAGAGACCTGGTCCTGTGGGAGCAGGCAAGATGTTACAGGGACACAACCACGATTCAGGGCTTCTCCCGCACCTGGGCCGTTCCTGGGTGAGGGGGCCTGGCCTGACCTCTGCCCACCTTGGCACTGGGCTGATGGATCTCACTAGACCAGAGCACCTCAGCTGCCGCCTGCTTCTTCTCCCACCTTTGACTCTTCAGCACCTGGAAAAGGGGGCTGGGGGTCCTTGCAGGGATGCTGCAGACCTCCAGGTCTAGCACAGCTCCTGGGACACATCCCACCCCTCCATCTCACCCCCTGGGCAGCCCCAACCCCTGCCCTCAGTGCCCGACAAGGGCCTTGGCACCAGGATGGAGCCCAGACCTCACCCGAGCAGGGAAATCGGTGCCATCCTGGTCCCATGTGGATCCAGGGGTGTTCCCCCACCTGCAGCTCCCTCAGGGCTCTCCGCAGCTGGGCCACAGCTGTCCTCTGCTCTGGGAGGGCAGTTCCAGCCAGAAGCTCCATCCGCAGCCCTCGGATCTCCCTCCGGCGCACTGCGATCTCCTCCGCAGGGTCCCAGAGTGTGGCAGAGATGGTCTTGGCCAGCCCCTTCACCCTCTCAGCCAGCCCCAGGGCTCCCAGGATCTCCTCCCTGGAGGTGTCTGGGAGAGCAGCACCCCTGGGTAGGGGCATGGGGGGACACCAGCACGGGGGGTTCTGGTACAATGGGGGTGAGTGGAGCCGGTGTCCAGCTTCCAATGACCACAAGTGTTCCTGGGACTGAGTGCCAGGCATGGGGCAGGATGGGGGGAAACATCAGGGAGGGGGCATCCCAAAGTGTGTCCCTGTCCCAGGGGCTACCTTGCAGTGACACACACAGCAGCAGGAAGGTCAGACTGTTCCCCTCCAGCAGCCGCTCCATGATCCAGGGCTGGCAGCCTGTGTCAGGTTCCCTGCACGTGGGTTGAGAGGTACCCTGGGATGGCACCGGCATCCACATGCCAGGCAGGCTGAGCCCCGACCCACAGGAGCCCAAGGATGGGTTGGTCACACTGGGAGGGAGCCCACATCCTCAAGGGGAGGTGACAACCCCTTTGGCTCCCAGCCATGGGCTCCCTGTGGGGTGTCAAGGTCTCTCCTGCTTCACCTCCGGGTATGGAATCCCCGCAGCCCGCAGCAGGCACACGGGGAGCTGGAGGGGGACACGGCTCAGCCCTGGTACGTACAGCCTGGGGCAGGGCCCCGGGGACACCAGGATCCTGAGGGCTGAGCGCTGCCACCTGCCACCCTCCAGCTCCCGCTCCACGGTGAGAGTGAAGAGGCTGCCGACCCTGGGGAGAGACCAGAGTGGGAGCAGAGCTTCCAGAGCCGCCCCAGCACCCCATGGCTCAATCCTTCCCTGCCCTCACCCCTGCACCGGGCGCCCGTCTGCGAGGGGCTGCCGTGCACACCCCTGGAACAGCGCTGGGATGGCACCCAGCCCCCTGGCATAGGCACTGATGGCAGCTTGGGCATCGGGCACAGCGATTTCCGTGGCCTCCTCCACCATCCTGGAAGCAGATGGGGACAAGGGTGAGCGAGGAGGGCCATGCCCACCCACCCCCTGCATGCCCTGGGGGACATGTGCTCCCTGGGCACTGTGTTCCCTGCCCAGCCCCACCCTCGACATTGGGGTTCCAGCCCCCCAGGAGCACTTGCCCAGCCATGGGGCATCAGGTACCTACAGGCCCAG